AACAAATACACGAAAAAATGCTCACCATCTCTAGCAATCAGAGAAATGCAAATTAAAACTACTCTAAGATACCATCTCACTCCAATAAGAATGGCAGCCATTATGAAGTCAAACAACAAGTGCTGGGGAGGATGTGGGTGGGGGAGGTACACTCATAACATTGCTGGTGGGACTACAAATTGGTGCAGCCAATTTGGAAAGCAGTATAGAGATTCCTTGGAAAGCTGGGAATGGAACCACCATTTGACCCAGCTATTCCCCTTCTCGGTCTATACCCAAAAGACCTAAAAAGAGCATACTACAGAGACATAGCCACATCAATGTTTATAGCAGCACAATTCACAATAGCTAGAATGTGGAACCTACCTAGATGCCCTTCAATAGATGAATGGATTAAAAAAATGTGGAATTTATACACAATGGAATATTACTCAACACTAAAAAATAACAAAATCATGGCATTTGCAGGGAAATGGATGGCACTGGAGCAGATTATGCTAAGTTAGCCAATCCCTAAAAAACAAATGCTGAATGTCTTCTCTGATATAAGGTGGGTGACTCAAAATGGGATAGGGAGGAAGAGCATAAGAGGAAGACTACCACTAAATAGGGAAGAGAGGTGGGAGGAAAAAAGAGGGAGAAGGGGACTTGCACAGAAGATGGAAGGAGAACCTTATCGTTATACAGAATACATGTATGATATTGTAATGAGAAAAAGAAAAAAAAATGTGTCACATTAGATTGGATAGAGAGAAATGATGGGATGGGAGGGGAGGGGAGGAGTAGGGAGGATAGGAAGGGCAGCAGAATAGAATAGACATTATGACTGCTGTATGTATATAGGTGACTCTAYGACCAGTGTGATTCTGCAATCTGTATAATTAGAAAAATGAGAAATTATACCCCAATGATTCAAATGTATGAGTTGCCAAGATCATTGTAATGTCATGTGTAGCTAATAAAAAAATAAAAAAAAATAAATAAATAAATATTGGGTCTTACCATGTTGTACAGGCTGGCCTTGAACACAATGATATTCCCACTGCAGCCTCTTGAATAGATTATAGGTGTGCACAGATAAATCTTAGTGCTTACTTCACAAGCATCCATTATTATTAAAAGTCACCCTAGTTCTTTCTACTTCTAGGATATTATCCCCCCTTCTAGAAAATAAATATTTCTTAATGTGGTAATCTGTGAACAATTGCTAATCCGTTCCATCCTAAAAGTATTTAATAATTACTTTCACAATTTGATGGTTAAGGAATACTATCCTATAATCTTTTATTTTGAAGAAAATCAAACAATATCTCTAAATCAAGCTCCTTTGACTTAGAATAATAACTGAATAGCTATTTCTATATCATACCTTGTATTTGGTCATGGTGCTAAAATGATTATTCCGAAAGAACACACAAAGTTCTCCTTCCTGAACGGTTGAAGTTAGTTCACATAATCCATGGTATGTCAGTTGAGTGGCTGTATTATTTAGAAACTGCTCAGCTACAAAGCCTATGGAACCAATGCATAATATTAGATGCACAATAGTAGATGGAAGAAGAATTTCAAAATTAAAAAATTACTCTTTTCTATTAATATTGTGTTCAAGTATATATAAAGTCCAATCAATATAAAACTTTTCCTATGATGGTGGCCCCAAATTGGAGATTCATCTTTCTAATTTAGGTATAGAAGTTATATCTACAGTTGTTCCCATCCTAAATAAACTGTTAGGTGACAGCTTACAATAAAAGATACAGACACTTTAATTAAACTAAAACCCATTAAAACAAATACAAATGGGGCTGAGGATATAGCTCTGTGATATAGCACCTGCTTCACACATGTGAGGCACTGGGTTTGATTCTCAGCACCACATAAAAATAAATAAAATAAAGATATTATGTCCATCTACAACAAAAATTATATATAAAAATTAAAATTAAAACCCAAGGAGTTAGCAATTTAAAATGTGGGTAGGAAAGATGTATGTCCAACATCTACTGTCCCAATGGTGAGATGTTTAGAAATTACAAGTAGCCTTCACAAATTACCTTAAGACAAATTGCCTAAAAAATTGTTACTTAAGTAGTCCTGAGCTTTTAACAGAGATCCCAGATAATTCTCAAGTGTAAATTGTTAAATTCTTTCCTTAAATCTAAAAGTAGACATAAAACTCAAGAGAAAGCAGTAGGATAGTTGGTGCCATTTTTATCCTAATCTCCTCCAACACATGCCACTCATTATGTAGATATACAAAGTTTAGAAATAGATACTATCTCTTTTCTTTCTGAAACAGAATGAAATATACAGAAGTTGTCTGAATTTTTTAAAAATATTTATTTTTTAGCTTTAGGTGGACACAATATCTTTATTTTATTTTTATGCAGTGCTGAGGATCGAACCCAGTGCCTCACACATGCCAGGCGAGCACGCTACTACTTGAGCCATATCCCCAGCCCCAAGTTGTCTGAATTTTATTTTAAAAGATATATGGTACAGTTGATCCTCATTAACTGCAAAGTTATGAGTTCATGTATAGCTAAAAGTCATTTATAAATACCTAAAAATCAGGGGCTGGGGATGTGGCTCAAGCGGTAGCATGCTCGCCTGGCATGCGTGCGGCCCAGGTTCGATCCTGAAGCACCACATACAAAAAACAAAGATGTTGTGTCTGTCGATAACTAAAATAAATAAATAAATATTTTTAAAAAAATACCTAAAAATCAATACTCACAGCACTTCAATGGTCATTTGGGGATATCTGAGGATAGGCAAAAAATTTGAATTGCCCAGCAACACTCTGCCTTGTTATTTCAGCTCATACCATAGACAAGTGTCCTTTTCATGGTCTATTTAGTGTCATGTTTTTCATATTTTTGTACGTTTTGTTGGTGTTTTTTTCTGTTTGAAATATTTCCCCCACCCAACTGTCACTCAAGTGTAAGGTTAAAGTAATAGCTGGTACTAAGTGGAGAAAGGCTGTGATGGAGAAAATACATGTCAGATAAGCTTTGTTTAGGCATGAATTATAGTGTTGTTGGCTCTGAGTTTAATGTCAATGAATCAATAGTATATTATTAATTAAAGTATTTTAAAACAGAAACACTCATAAAATAAGGTTGTTGACTGGTTGACAAAAAACGATCTAACCGAGCCAGGCTTAGTAGTGCACACCTATAATCACAGTAGCTCAGGAAGCTGAGGCAGGAGGATCATAAGTTCAAACCCAGACTGAGCAATTTAGTGAGGCCCTAAGCATCTCAGTGAAACCCTGTCTCAAAATAAAAAATAAGAAGGAAAGGAATATGCCTCAGTGCTTAAATGCCCCCCCCCTCAAACCTGGACACGCCCTCCCCCTAAAAAAATTTTTCTTGCCTAGGAACAATACTTTAGCGTTCACTAATTCCTTGTTCAACATAAAACATTACCACTGCAAACAATGAGAATCAACTGTATAAATATTTTTTGAAACATGTATTTCTCTTTCCCTTCTTTTCCTCTTTTCCTTTAGTAGGAAAAAAAATGTCTCAGGAGCACTAAGTGGGGAGGTTCTTCTAAAGAGTTTTGTTAAGTAAGCTGAGAGGTGCAGATATAGGGAATAAAGATGAATCTGTAATAAGAAACTAATGCCTCAATAAGAAATTGAAAATAAACTTGGGGAATGTGATGATCATTATTATCCAAAGTACAGGTATGAAGACATGACAAATTGTGCTCTATATGTGTAATAAGAATTGTAATGCATTCTGCTGTCATATATAAATAAATAAATAAACCTGGTAGAAAGTTGGCAGGCCAGAAGGCTAGGTAATGTATTTATTCAACTGCCTGTGTATTCCTTGGTAACAAGCCATAGCACTTCAAGCTGCAAAATGGTTGTAAAAATGTTAAAAATACACACACTATTCCAAGGACTTGATTAAGGTAGGAAGGGAAGTGCAAAAGTTAAAGGAGGCTACAATCAAAGGAAATTGATAGCATAACTGCAAACTTTTACCAAGTAGAATATATAAAGTTTTAAAAATGAAGCATTTTGTTTATGCTGCAAAATACCACTCCTGTCTATAATATCCACATCGTTAAATGCTTCTTTTTTTTTTTTTTACCTGTATTTATTTATTTATTTTTATGTGGTGCTAAGGATCGAACCCAGGGCCTTGCAACTACAACCCAGCCCCCTAAATGCTTCTTTCAGAAAGATGTTTCTAAATGCTCCTTTCACAGCTTACTCACATACATTCTCTCCAAACCCCTTTAAAAAAAAAGATACAAAAAGCCAGGTGTGGTAGCATATGCCTGTAATCCTAGTGGCTTAGAGGCTGAGGCAGGAGAATTRCAAGTTTGAGGTTAGTCTCAGCCACTTAGCAAGGCACTAAGTAACTTTGTCAGACCGTCTTAAAGCAAAAAGAGCTGGGGATGTAGCTCAGTGGTAAAGTGTCGTAGTCTCCTTTCCCCTTGCCAAATACAGATACAAAAATTTAGTGGA